GTCGTTCGGGCCGGAGCGGGAAACTCGTCTTTTTCTCGTGAAAAAAAAAAAAAAGAAAAAGGTGGTGGAGAGATTAAAAGTTGCCGCGAACCTATTACCCTCTGATACGTATCCGCCATTAACGTTTTTAATCCTCGATTCTGGTCTCGTATGAAATCCTCGAAGGGGAAACTTTTAACCGTTCCCTTTGACCGTTGGTTCGCGAATAGGAGACGAGAGTATTTGGCGATGGATCGTGAAGATTCGGAGGGGAAAGTTTTTTCTCCCTCTCCTTTTTCCTTCTTTCACGGAATTTGAATTCTTCCGACACCCCTTTCGGATCCGGGCGTTCCGTTTCGAGTAACGGCTTCGAATTACGAAATCATCGACGAGAAGAGGCGCGAGAAAAGTCGAGGAAGCAACAGAGGGGAGAGCGTCGGAAAGAATCGGATGAAATACGGTAAAGGAGGTCGAGGGAAGTTGTGCGAACTCGCTTCTTGGCGAGACATTTTACGTTGATTCGCGCCCGAGCGGCAAGTATTGTCGGCACCAGATGCAGAGAAGCGACATTCTGTCGAGTTTCTGCGATTCGATTTGAATCTCGTAATACCGAAGTTTGCAGAGTTCGCGGAAGTCTGGATAATTACGGGGTGCTGCGCTGATTTCGCAGACGCAACGTGAGGTCTCTTTTTCGCGCGAGCTGTGTGTGTGTGCAGCAAAGAGGATATCTCGAGGATAATGGCGAAACTTGTTCCCTTCTTCGTGGAAGAAAAATTCGCGATGTATAAAAATCGACGATTACTCGAAGACACTCGGGAGGATATCGAGATCTTATTTCGTCATCCTTGGAAAAGTTGAGCAATTATCCGAAATGGTAATTGGAAGATAGCGAGAGGATGGATGGTTGAGGGGGATCGTTGAATCGAATAATTAATATTCTTCGGTTTCCACGATGCCGGAAGTATCGTCGATAGAGCTCGGGCTAATGCAGCCCGTGCTATTTAATACCCCCCGAGGGGGAGAAGTATACAGGCGGTACCGTAAGGGCAAAACTCAATTAACAAAGTGGCTCGTCATCTTCTCCCAGGCCTCGAAACTAAATCCGTTTAATGCACTTATCTTTGTTGCCGCAGCAACAGAAAGCACTTGAAATCCGTTTAATATACTTATCTTTGTTTCTGCAGCTACGTACGAAAAGCGTTTCCGCTTTTAACGTGTATTAACTTACACGCGAAAGCGAAAGCACTGTTTCCGTTGTAACCTTATTAGCGCTGCGAAATTAAGTGCAGACGTCTTTTCGTATATTCTTTTC